TCTTGGAAACAATAATATATTTATGCAGAAATATATAAAAAACCACCAACAACAACAAAGTGCAATATTTTTTGTGTATGTGTGTCCAAATGTGAGTTTTAAAATAACAACAACAACGAATAGCAATTCAATGGCTATTTATGAGAAAAATGTGCCACAAATAAAAAACAAACAAAAGCAAAATTCACAAAAATTAATTAATAAAAAAGAAACTACAGTATGAGCTCCATTTATGCAAATGTAAATTGCACCTAAATAAGGAATATTAAAAAAATAATTATTAAAAGAATTGGTGAATAACTTTATATAGATCGACTGTAAATTTGGATATTTCTTATCCATTTTGAAGGTTGGGAGTACATCAGTAAATTTTAAAGGAATAAATAATCTGTTATAGAGTTCATAATCCTTCTTATATTTATTATAGAAGAAGGTCTTCTTATAGAAGAAAGGCATATCTTCTTATAGAGGAGCAGAGTGTTTTCGTATAGAATATCAGAAATTATTCTTAGAGAATACCAGAAATTATTTTTATAGAACAGTAGAAGATATTCTTATGGAACGGAGATATTCTTATAGAAATGTCTTCTCATAGAAAAGGAGAATATCTTTTTATCGAAGAGCATAAGGTCTTCATATAGAAGAATATAAGATCTACTTATAGAATAACAGAAAGCCTTCCTATAAAAGAGCAGATGTTATGTTTATAGAATATAATCTTCTATAAGCAGACCCCCGCTTATAGAAGAGCCGAGGATATTTTCAGAGAGGAGTAAAGTGTCGTATTGAAAAGCATAAGGCCTCTTTATAAAAGAGCAGTATGTATTCTTATGGTAGAGGACAAGCAGGAGTCTCATATAAAAGCAGATTGTCTTCATAAAGAATATCAGAATATCTTCGTAAAGATGAGAAAAGAAAGAGGTCTTCTTATAGAAGATTATAGGGTATTTTTAAAGTGAACCAGAAGGACTTATAGAGGAGCAAAAAGTGTTGTTTAGAAGAAAAGAGAAGTTTTGAAGAGAAGTATGTCATTTTATAGAAAAGAGGAATGTCTTCTTATAGCAGAGCAGAAGGTTTTCTTATAGGGGAGCAGAATATACCAGAATGCTTTCCTATAGAAAACCAGAAAATATTCTTATATAAATTGAAAAGGAAGCAAAAGACAGAAGTCCTTCCAATTGAAGACCAAAAATTCTTTTCATAGAAAGCCAGAAGATTTTCTTACGCAGGAGCACTGGGTTTGGTTTAGAAGACTGAAAGTTTGTTTTTTTTAGAAGAGTGAAAGCTATTCCTCAAGATATTTCAAAAATAAACTAAAATGACTGCCTAAGCCTTGATTAGACCTGGATTATTAATTTATTATAATAATTTTAATTATTAATTTTATATACTTTAAAAATACTACTTTTTTAAATTAAAACCAGTGAGCGGAGCAGTATAGTCGGACGGGGCCGACCATACGATACCCTGAACAACTATCACGGAAATCTAACTTTCTGCGGATTTTTATTCCGAGCCTGACAAAATGTCGTGATAGTTGCACCCTTTTGCCCGATTAGAGGTCAATAGCACCTCTTCCTTACACGGACATACTTTCCGAATATTACTAATATTCAGCATAGTCCTCCTAAATACTTGATCAGATTCCCTTGACCGTGGGTTGTGTTGTGATGTTCGGTTTATAATTGTGGCCTATAGATCGACTCGAAAAAAATAAGTTTTCGGTCCACTTCATCCCAAAATTATTATCTGATCACCTCCGAAAATTATAGTCGTTGTCCCTGACCACTACTGGAACCTAATGGAACAATTCATAGCGATCAGCTATATATTTCCAGTATATATCCAGTGTGGTAATAGGCTACTAAATAATATATCAGTACGTAAGCACCTATAAATATTTAAGTGTAACTCCCACATCTGAGTACATACGACCATATAATTGGTATAAATTTAAAGGTCAACCACTCGTTTTGGATGTGCTATCAACTTCTCGGGTCTTTGTTCTTCATGGGTAAATATATACGCTATAGAATACAAATTTTGTCATTTTTCACTCAAAAGTCAGGGTCCATTTGACCCGCTAAATATTGACCGATCTTTATCAAAACAAACATGCTTATTCTTTGGCCCGATCCTTCTTCATGCAAAAAATCGCGGTGTTTGGGCCATAATTGCGGCCTCTGGAGCGAGCAGAAAATCCGACAAAAATAAAGTTTTTGGTCCATTTCATCCCTTAAATATTAACTGTTCTTTTCCTAAAACAATAGGGGTCTTCATTGGCCAGAACCCATCCTACATGCAAAATTTCGTGAAGATTGGTCCATAACTGTGGCCTGTATTGTGTTTACAAATTATAATGGACAGACGGACGGACGGACACACATGTCTTTATCGACTCAGCTAGTCGAGATATGACGATTGGTATACTTAAAGGTGGGTCTAGGACCAATATTTCGCGGCGTTACAAACTTTTTGGGCTGCACAAAGCTATAATACCCTGACAACATAGTTGTGTAGGGTATAAAAATAGTCTAAAATGAATGCCTAAGCCTTGATTAGACCTGGATTATTAATTTATTATCATTCATTTTAATTATTAATTTTTATATACATTAAAAATACTACTTTTTTTAAATTAAAATTAATACAAAAATTCCTCATATTAGGTTAGGGAAAAAGAAATCCAGTTTGGTTTTGTGTAAATAGTTTAAAACTGTTAAGGTCGATTTTTAGCTCCTGGGCGATGTTACATGCCGGTCAACTTCGATCATTTCTCCGACTTTATCGACATTTTCGACGATCGGCCTACCGGTGCGAGAAGCATCTTTAACCTCAAAAATTCCTGAACGTAAACTACGAAACCAAAATTGGCTGTTACAGTATCGGAACCATAAACACCATTCACTTTAGCCGCCTGTCTTGGCATTTTCGCCATTGGCAAAGAAAAACTGTAAAATGTACCGAATTTTATCTTTGTTATTCACTTCCACTTTTAACACCCTATAACTAAAAACTGAATGCACCAAACAATAAACAGGAAAATATATTTTTACTACTACGAAATGTCACCCTTGCAACGAGCAGAACTCTGAAATTGTTTGATCGACACAATGGCACAATGAATAGGTAGTCCATTTAGATCAGCTGATGTCTTGATTAACCCTTTCAGTGTTTTTGTCGAATATATTCGACATTTAAAAATACTCTCTTTCTTTGCCATTTTCCGGTTATCCTATGTACCGTTACTATTGTTGTTTTTGTTTTTGCTGAAAGACAGACGAAACTGTCCGATGATTAAAATTGCAATTGCTATTTTTTCTAAACTTTGCCCTTTTATATGATTTAAAATACAAAATTTTAGATTTTTATTCCGACAAAAAATTTTATTGACACTGAAAGGGTTAACTGTCAAAGTGCGTAATTTCTACTTGAATTCGATGCGCAGTGTTGCCAACCATTTGAAATATTATAAGGAAAATTTTGACAGATGCTCGAGACAAAAACAAATGTTTTTGTTGTGATATATCACCTTATTATTGCATCATGATCGACACCATACGAGAAATCTATCAGTAAAGTCATCTGCCGAAAAAATAATGGATTTCTTTTTCCCCAACCTAATATTAAAGAATTGCAAAAATTGAGCTCTTACTGTAGTTTTTTGGTTTCCGTGAAGATGATCGCAATTTTCGAATAAAAATTTTAAATTTGAATTTTCCAGTCATAAAATTCATGCAGTGAATGAACCACCATCCATAAAAAAGAAACAAGCCGGCTCCATCTAAATATAAATCAAAAGAAAAGTAAATAAATTAAAAATTTCGAAATAAAACTGAACACTTTTTTCGTTTATTTGGAAAAAAGTGCAAAAAATCAGTTTTAAATATATATATTTGGAACAACAAAAAACACACAACGTAAACAACAACAACAAAAGTTTTAGCAAAAATTTTCAATTGAAATTTTGCATTAAAACGAAGCTGTGCCAACGAAACGGAGAGAGGCCTTGGAAATAACAACAAGAAAAAAGAAGAAAGAAAAATAAGTTCAATAACCATTTAACAAAAGTATTGGAAAAAATGTGATACAAACAAAATTTGTTTTAAAATTAAATTGAATTTAATGTGTGTTAAGTGAAGTTAAGTGATTTACATGGAAATTTTGAATTTGGAAAACATTTAATAAAAAGAAGAATTTAATTTTTAAAGAAACGATTGAAAAAAACAAAAATTAATAACAAGAAAACAAAAAATAAATAAATATTGATTTTATTATTATTTTCAAACAACAACAAAATTTAACAAAGTGAAGATAGATATATAAATATTTATTTATTAAAAAAGTATTAATAAATCTCAAAAGAAATTCTAAGAGAAAATTCTCAACATTGAATTGGAGCAAAACGTGAAGAAAACCCATACATGCCACAGAAAAATTAAAATACTCAGTAATTAGTGAAGAATAATAAATAGAGCTTAACAGTGTAATATATTAACAACAAAAGAAGAACGATTTAAAAAAAGTATAAAACAGTATTCCAAGAAAACCACCAATTGCCTTTACCAAATCCAACCATTCACTATATTTTCTTAAAACTGGCCACTATTTGTTTGGCTAACTGCTCAAAGAATGCAATGGACGTTTTGAGGGGCCCCCTCATTTAATTGCTTTTAATTAACACACTTCAAGAAACAAATACCAGCATCGGCAACAACATCTAAATCACCTGCATACGAACAGCAACAGCAGCCGCAACAACAACACCCACCAACCAAGCAGCCACCCAACCACATTGTATGTTGGACCTTTTAACACAAAAGAAACCAAAAAAATACATCATCGTCATCATCAACATCATTATCGGTTTTTTTGTTTGTTTCTTTTATAAATTTTTTAATTTATTTCAACTGAAAATTATTTTTTGTTGAAACAACACCAACCAAAAAAAAACACCACCAACAACAACAACACTATTACCACCAACACCCAGTTGAAAAAGTTGTTAATTGTTGCAAATATTTTATTATCATTATGTATCTAATACAGGTGAGAATTTGTTTCTTTTTCTTTCTTTATATTTGTTTTTTTTTTTTTTTTGTTTTGGTTATTCTTTGTTATTTATGTTTAGTTTAAGTTATTTGTTTTCCTTTCGTCGCTTTTCTTGTTGTTGGCCTTTACATTACCAACATCAACACCGTCAACACCTTTAGGTTTGTTTTCTATTTTCTTAAATATTTGTTTTTGTCTTCGGTGTCTCTGCACACACACACATACACTGGCACCTCTTTCGTTTATAATGGTGTTAGGGTCAGTGTGTCTTAGGGGCATGCATATAGTGCATATAGATAACCGAAACCACCTTAAATATTTTTTTATTCACGACCAAGTGAAACTAAATTCGGGCTAAGGTGAAAAAAACACATGTGAAAATGGTGTGACATTGGAAGTAATCCTCGACCTGATATGAAGACCTTCTCATCCTTCCCTCAGAAGAGCGGAAGATCTTCTTATAGTATTACAATACCAAAAAGACCAGAAGGTCTTCTTCTAGTCTTTTAAAATTTCTTCATGTAGAACATCAGAAGGTCTTCTCATAGAAGATCAGAAGAACTTTTCATAGAAGGGTAGAAAGACTTATTATACAAAGGCAGAAGGCCTTCTTATAGAAGAGCAGAATGTTTTCCCATAGAAGAACAGAATGTCTTATCAAAGCAGAAGATCTTCCTTAGAAGACCAGATGATCCTCTATTTGTGGATCAGAAGGTCTACTCATGGAATATCAAAAAGTCTTCTCATAGAAGACCAGAAGGTCTTATCAAAGTAGAAGATCTTCCTTAGAAGACTAGAATATCATTTATTAGTGGATCAAAAGGTCTTCTCATAGAATAACAGCCATTTTTATTAAAGTTGAAGATCTTCCTTAGAAAACCAGAAGATCTTGTATTAGTGGACAGGAGGTCTTCTCATAGACGAGCAGAAGTTTTTATCATTGAAGATCAGAAGTTCTTCCCATAGAAGAGCAGGAGGTCTTCTCATAGAAAATCAGAAGCCCTTCTCATAGAAGGTCAGAAGGTCTTCCCAAGAATAACAGAGGGTATTATCATAGAAGATCAGAAGGTTTTCTTAAGAAGAGCAGAGAATTTTCTCAACAAAAATCTTCTCAAGAAGAGCAGATAGTCTTTTCAATATCAGAAGGTCTTCTGAAAGCCGGAGACCTTTCATAGACGAGCAAAATATATTAGGCTGGGAAAAAAAGAAATTCAGAAATTAGAAATTAGGCTGGGAAAAAAAAGAAATTCAAAAGAAATGCCAAATATGCCCCATTTTGTTGTATGATTTGTTGCCATTTTAAAGGTAACTTCATAATGCCTCTCTCATAGAAGTCCTGCTCTGTATTTGCAAAAAAAAACTCTAGTAGTCGATTTTCACAATTCTTCCTAGCTACCAATTTTTTATGATTATAGAAATTTTGCAATGCATGAAAAAGAAGGTAATCGCTTGGTGCCAAGTCCGGACTGTATGGCGAATGCATTAAAACTTCCCAACCAATCTTCCGAAGTTTCTGGCGAGTTACTGTATGTGTGTGTTACCTAGCGTTGTCCTGGTGGAACACGACACTTTTGACCAATTCCGGTCGTTATCTTCGAACGGTCCAGTTGTTGACAGTAGAGATAAGAATTTAGCGTTTGGCCATATGGAAGCAACTCATAATAAATAATCCCCATCCAGTCCCACTAAATGCATAGCAGAACCTCCCAGCCGTTCGCCCTGGTTTGGTCACCGTTTGAGGCGCTTCACTGCTCTTTCGCCACGATCGTTTTCGAACGGGGTTATCGTATGTGATCCATTTCTCATCTCCAGTCACCATCCGTTTATGAAATGGGTATATCTCATTCCGTTTGTCCAAGGCTTCGCAGATAGAAATTCGAAATTTCTTTCTATTTTTTCAGTTAAGGGGACCCCCCCATTCTCTGGGTCAAAATTTTTTTAATTTAATTCGTTTCTACACTAATTCAATAATGTCTCTACAAAATTTCAAGTGAAAATCTCAAGAACTCTTGAAGATATAGCCGATTTATTGTGTCAGCATCAAGTGACTGCTAAAGGGTTTCTCAAACTTTAAACGCGTTTTTCTCTTTTGCGAATGGCGGGCTCGATAACTCAAAATCTAATAACCCAATCGATTTCAAATTTTTACACGGTTCTCTGTGAGTGTATAGCTATCGTATGAACTAGGATAAAGCCAATCGGTGAATATCTTCCTTATTTTTTAACTTGGTTTTTGGTCAAAATTCGGTGATTTTTCAAAAATATTTTTTTATAGGTCCGCCATTTTGTTAATTTTAGAGCGAAGTCATTAATCCTAGTTCATACGAGAGCCAGACATGTACTCTTTCTAACACCGTTGGAATTTTCGGATTCCGTTGTTCCAGTGAGGAGTTATCATGCCCGCCATCAAAAATAAGGACTTTTCTTTAATTACAAAAAACAACAACAAAACAATAACAAAAATCTTTTGTAAATTATTTTTCTTCTTTTTTAAATCTTCACATATATATGTGCAAAGTTACAAACCTTAACAAGCATTGGTATTGATTTGCCAGCCCATTGAAAATCTTGAAAAATTAAAATCGAGAATGGGTGGGGTTTCCTTAATTGGTTTGGCACCCAAACATCGAGCTTCTTTTTGAATCCAGCTTTGTGTAAATGGTCGATTTATAGCTGCTGGGCAGTGTTATAATTTCGATCATTTCATCGATTTTATCGACATTTTCGACGACCAGCTTAATGGATTTCTTTATCCCCAACCTAATATTATATAGGAACAGAGAGTCTTCGTATAGAATACAGAAACTACATATAAAATACCAGAAGAGATTCTTACCGAAAACCACAAAGTTCGAGGACTTACCTGGCGTAATCTGAAAATAGAAAGTTTGACGTTTTTAGCATAAATTTACCATGTTCGCTGTAAGGTACTACCATGTGTTGTGTTGTTTACAGTGTTGCATTCTCAGAGAAGAACATTGCACAACTTTCGCTGTGGATAATCCACAGCATCTATAAACTTAAAAATCCGTATGGCAATATAGTCTAATCATAATTCATCTAAAGTTATTCATGGAAGAATCGCTTAGAAGCAAAGCGTCTTATATCAAAGGTTCCGCTTTAGCAACATAGGACGGCTAATTCTGAGTTGCACACCACTATTAGTGAAGGCACAAAGCAGAATCTTTTTGTCCGGCGAAAACGATATATGTAAGTCGCCATATAGCTTTTTATATAAAACATCAAAATGTCTTCCTATGGGAATCACAAATTCTTCACATTGAAAACCAAAGTTCTCCCCATTGAATACCAAAATTCCAACATACATACGCTGCATAGTAAAGGTGTAGATTTTCTTATAGTTGACCAATAGCAAATTAAGTTTTGAGCTTCTACATGAATACCTCTTTCTGGCCTATTTCTCAGGTCTACAAGATCCTTCTCCGATCTTCTATAAGTAAATTTACCGATTCTCCTGAAAGATGTATTTATTCTTCTACTATGTACTCTATTTTAGGCTTTATTAAGATTTGCCTTGTGCAACATAAATAATTCTCAGGGTCTTAAATAAATAGTTGCAACACCCGTCCATTGTGTCAATTGTAAAATAATTTTTATGACGAAGTTCTTATTGATCCTTATTACCTTAAACAGGTAAATAATAATAACGAGATCAATTGTTTACCTGCTTTTACCAATTCTTGCACTGATAGTCATTAAATATTACTTAGAAAGGGATTTATTTACACCAATCGTAAAATTTAATAAACAGTCAATAAAAACTTGCAAGAACAGTTTATAGTAGGTACTCAGTCAAACCTTTCCATTTCATTGCTTATTGGAATTCAACAAAAACGAGAGTTTTCTTTGTTGTCTTGATTAACTATGGGAATACATCTCTCTCAATTTATTTGCAAAAATATGAAAGCCCTTCAAAACAGACAATGTTTTACATAAATTTTCATAAATTACTTTCTTTCGTAATTAACGGCTTTTTTGTGTAAAATAGTTCGGCAGTCAGTTCGTCAGTTTATCTGACATGTTTATCTTCATTATTTAACACAAAAAAAACAAGCCACCTATTCAGACAGACAAGTCAAAACAACCAAGCAACTGTAAATTTGATGAATAAACTTCAGTTGAAAAAAGTAAACGCTGAAGTATTTAACTAAATGAAAAGAGAAATTTACATAAAAACCAACATTTTTTTGTTTTATAAAAAATATGCAAAAATAAACACAATTTAATGTAAAACTTGTGGGGAATATAACACTTTAACGGTGGCGTGTTTGTTGAAAAAAGTGTAAACGTTTTAAATTATTACTGGAAAAAGCATTTTATAATGGACTGTTATTATTTTAATGCAATTATATGTATATTGTAATCGAAGGACCAAACTACATTATTTTATTTCAAAAAAATCAAAAATCCAAGAAGTCGTCTTTAAACCCAAATATTAAAATAAACAACAACAAAAATTATAAGATCAATAGGCTTGCATTACCCTTTTAGGAGTTAAAACTGTTTTTCAGGTTCAGAATATCGCTCTTATTAAAGACATGAAGTAATTTACAGTTAAGGTATTTAATTAATTAAATAATAATTTCCGTTTATTCGTATTCATATCGAAGGACCAAATATTGAAACAAAGCCAGGGTTGCCATTATCAATTTCTCAAATGAGACTACCTTGTACAGTTATGCCATGACTGCCTTATTACGAAGTTACATAAAACGATCGAAGGACCAAAACGCTATATTTCAACGGCGATGGCAATCGAAGGACCAATATGTGTTTTTAAGAACACATATTGGTCTTATGGAAGATCGGAAATACCTTCGCATTAAAAACCAAATTAGTATTTTTTTTTCTTGACTAAGACTCAATACTTGATTAACGATCGAAGGACTTTCATATTATATGTCAACCGTGTTTTCAATCGAAGGACCAAAATGATTTTTAAAATATACCTATTTGGTCTATTTGTAAAATATCTG